CAAAAGCAAGCTTTCATTTGTTTTTAATTTTAGTTATTTTCCCCTCAAATACATCTGACAAATATCAAATACTTTCTTTTTTCTGGTTCAATTGGCTTACCTCTTGCAATCGACGTTTTAGAAAATGCATCTGTCTGAATGTTTATAACTCTAGATATATACATTAACTGTGTTAATTGAGCTGGTTTATATCAAAGACGGACATCCGTCATTTTCAAAGAGTTGGAAAAAAAAAATTTTTTTGTAACATAGTTTCAATTTAGACCAATTCTAATGAGTATTCTCACAATTCTACATGAACATTCTTAAATTAAATCATCGGAAACAGTTTGATTTAATAAAAATGACCTTTTTTCCACTTTCTGTAAATGGTATGAAGCATCTCTATTATTAAAATGTTACAAAATTCGAATTAGATAATAAAGTTACCATTCTTACGACCATATTAACGGAATGAAATACAATATATGAATAATAAAACATTTAAATTCCGCATATAGACAAACAAAAAGGAGATAAAACTGGCGTTATCAATTAATAATTATTAGAACTCGTATCATAATACCAGAGGCATCTCACCGAATGGGTGTATAGTTGTTATTCTCTGTGATATTTTACATGACGTTTGGTGAACAACTAAAGATTTGGATTGGCTGCGTCTGTGAAGGACACTAGGCACCCTGATCAGACAGAATCCATGAATCTAGGCCGATTATTCACTGACCATGAACCCTAGTCCTTGAATACACATAGGCTCTAATGGAGTATAGTTTACTCATGAATTTATTTATTTATATACAGAAATTAATTCATAGATTAAAGCTGAATTTATGTCAGAATGCAACAGTTCTGAGTCGAAAGTATTTGGATTTGGAAATCATGCTTTGGTCTATACCTATTCATCAAATTCTTAAATATATTAACATTTTTTCGCAATATTCATTTGGATTGCTTACAATAATAATAATAATAAAAGTTATATTAATATAATCCATGCCTGAACTTGGGTTCAGTAGTTTGTAAGCAAGTTCTCTTTTTATTCCAACGGTGCAGAGAGGTGATTAGGCTAATACCACGTTAAATCACTAGGCTTTTTCTTTTCACTAATTATTTAATTAAAACTATCCACCCACTTTATAGAGACTGAGTGTGCCCCAGGAAGGTCATTTGTTCCAAGAGTTTAATAATTACCAGAGTCGGACTCGAACTTGGGACTCTGAACATTAGAATTACTGCCGTACAAACTGAGCTACCTCGCTCCATCATTTGAGGGATACAGAAGAATTATTAATGAATGTTAAACGGTGTAGCTTAATATGAACATTCTTCGTTCAGTCATACTTCTATCTGATTGAAGATATTACTATCCGATAAGATCGCTCCCATGAAGTGCAGCTGAGTCGTTTTATTTTCGTCCCCAGAACAAACGGTGCTCGGCATTATCATAACGCTAGGATCATACTTTTATTTTGATCGTGTAGACTCATCCCACGGTTATGTAACCGCCCCAGACGAAGGCTGCCAACATGCCCCTGTAGCTTGTAGCTAATGGCACATACAGCTCGGGCAAACAAAAATACAACTTGGGTTAGTAGTCCCAGCTTTGTGTCGAGCACGGTGGGCCCTTACAAGGTCTCGAGTCCCTGTCGAGGAACATTACAACCCCCATTCCACAAGATAATGCCTTGTATCTGTTGTTAGGGGAAGGTAAGAGTTCAGTAGTAATTAATTTATTTTGTTATTTTGTAAGTTCGTCGATGGCATCAGAAACCTATCAAATCGTTCCTAAACTCATCGATGGGAACCTTGGATGGGATCCAGCTATAAAATGTATATTTTCGGTTATTTTTCCTACTTTCCTCCTCTGGAATGTATTGCATGTGGAAATTACAAGGCATTTAAGCAGAAAGTAGGCAAGTTTTATCGCGATCGTTAGATCCCTCCATCAGTACAGTCAGTCTCAAACACGTTTTGTTCCTATACCCCAACATCCCTTGTGAAGATAATCGTGGCACAGACCCTAAAACATGTTAGTTATAATTAACCCTAAATAATTAATTACTACATTTCTTACTTAGTTTAAAAATCACGGAATCACAAATAGCACTCGGAATAAATTTTATATTTCTGAGTTTTGTAATTGAACATTCCTGTCATGATAAATTTAATGTTTCAATCTATGAATTGTTTCCAGTTGGTTGTATCGCATGTAACGATTAATATGTTATATATGAATTCTATTGTTTAATTTTCCGTCTGGTTTAGGTGGTTAAACCCCCTCATAGCGTCACGGACGTGTCGTGGGCGTTCCCAATGATGTCACACCTCCTCCTTTCATCCAATAAGAATACCATTTTAATTATGTCATATTTTTTTCGTTTTCCGTCATCCATGTTAATTCTCTTTAATCACCTGTTATAGGAATTAATTACAACTTTTTTTTTAATACTCTCTCTCGCCTCCTCTGGTGTGAAGGGAGTCATTTTTTCTATCTTGGCAGGTAATATGTCTAGCTTTTTAAAACATTTACAAAAAAAATCTACGCACTCCGAACGGAGGTACAAACAAGTCGTATAATTGTCCTTAAAAGGTCATCTGCTAATTATCTTCTGCTCTGAAAATAATTATTTATTTAAGAATTATTCAAAACTGTTTTTTCTTGTATCTTTTTTTTTTTTTTTGCTTAATCGTGCCTCCTATCACCGTTGAGCAGTGTGATGGTCTTGCGTGTATAGATGATATACAAGTCTCGATCCTATATCAGCTGGCCGCGTTTATTCTAATTCATTAATCTCTTGTCGAATACTTGTTTAACTGTCTCTATGCCTTCTTCTCTATACATTTATTTCGCCACGTTTTACCTCTGAATTCTTTTCACAAGGCCAAACCACCGTAATTATTGTTCCCCCAATTTTAATCTTTCTCTGATTTCTTCGTATGTCCAATGATTTTCGCTGAGATAGGTCAGTAGATAATCGAAAACACTTATTTGTTCTATAGAGAATTTATGTGACCCGATTCTGGCGTTACTTCGATTTGTCAAAATTTACAAGGATTGTGATTGTTATTACCCTTGATGTTCTAATATAGATTTTCACTTTCACAAATTTCTACTTTTTTTTTTCTTTTTAAGTGTGTTTTTTTTCTTGACTATACTTTGAAAAATCCTTCTGCTGTATATTTCATTGCCAAATGGCAAATCGTAGATTTTCAAATATGAGGAATTCTAATAATAATAGAAGTGGTGACATAGCTGTACTGATATTACTTGAAAAAAAAAATATAATCCATTTATTTGTTTCATTACTGAAATTGCTGTATAATGCTCCATAATAATAAAGAATTTTATAACTAAATTTTATAAAGAAATAGCTAATGTACCCGTCGTTGACGGGTGTATAGTTAAAATTTGAGAATCTTTTTTTTGAGATAGATTTTGTATTACGGTGGGGAGAGTCCAAATTCAATTTCATAAAATTTGGTCCGGGATCTCGAGACAAATTACTCAAGAATTCATAACTTTGGTTCTACTCCACATTTTGTTTTCATTTAAAGCCTATGTTTTAAGTCAAGCAAACCTTAATATAATGTCAGCATTTCAAAAGTCGACAATAAGCCATTGCTGAGCTTACCCCTGACAAAATTCGTTGCAATGGGGACAGACAAAAAAATTTTTAAAACTGGATTTGGTGTCTGCAATGTATGAAACGGAAAGATAAAAAACGGGTTGATTCTATTCCATGTACAGACAAAATATTTATTTTATTTATATAGATAAAATAACGATTATGTAAAATAGTTATTAATACCAATAAGTTTATAAAAATTAAGCCAGACGTCAAACATATTTCCTTTGATCATTCTTCATGACTGTAGGATAAATTAAACCCGTCTGCAGTCAACTATAAACTTAGATATAAAGTAATTATCTTTGTTATTTATTGGTTTATAATTTTTAGTAGTACAAAATTCGTGTATATATGTATATATATATAATAATAATAATAGCAATGCTTTATTTATTGCGAGATTGCGAGACAAGTCCATTTAGAATAATGTGCAGAGATGGAGATGTGGGCTTTGGAGCCTCAGAGAATAATCACAAATTAAATATATTAATATAATGAATGAATAAAAGAAAAGAGTATATATATATATATATTCATTCATTATTTTCATAATAAAGTAATAAATGGCCGATTGAAGTTCGTTGTATTTTTTATCAGATATTCTAGAAAAATAATTTTTTATATAACTGCATTGACGACTTAAACTTTCTCAGATTCACGTCATGACTTTAATCTGAAAAAAAAATAAACACAGGGAGTGTTTTATAATTATTGGGAGTGCCTCCATTTTAGCTTGTAATATCATCCGCCATGTCTTCTGACTTCTTCAGAGGCAGTTAGCAATCTATCTCTGGAATTGGCGGATGAAATATCATATGAAAAAGAATACAACTCCACGATCGGAATTCGTCTTTTCTTTCAACGTCTTGTACAACGTACCTTAGGTCTTAAATGTTTTATTTTATTCGGTTGCTTCATTTCAACTAAAATAGTTCAAATTTATTTATTTATTTATCATTAAGCACTATATATTTAGGATTGTTTTATTGAAACTTGGCAGCCATGTTTTTCAAGTAAATCATTCTCAAACGCCCTTTTCGCCATTAGTTCCCAGGCATCCATTCTGATTGGATAGCGATGTAACCTGTAGTGCCTACGTATCTATATAAAATGTATTGTCAAGTATTACTTTTGGTGTCTTATTATTATTGTTTAAATAAATACAAAAAAAAATTCTGGAGCTGAATATCTCTTTTGCATTTGTGCTTTGAGAGTGGCAAAAAGATGTCATTAGGAAGATGGGTACCATAAACACTTAATGTTTTTTGTGATTCATTCTGTGTATACATTTTTTCAAAGTTTTTATTTGTATTTTGTTATAGCTATTTAATCATCATGTATCGATTTACTGATCTTTGTTTGTTGTTTTAGGTTAAAAGATGGCGGAGGATGAAGGGAGGCGAGCTCAGTCACCCAGTCGGGGCCTTAAGGTGAGTGTTTTTTTTTCATCAATTATCTCTTTAAATACAACCTCGTTAATCCGGATCCACCATATCTAAAATCCGGATTAACCAGAACCTTCTTTTTCCGGTTTACTTTTATAATAAAACAAGTAAAATTGCACTGTTCACTGCAAACATTTTTTATTTACTGGTTATACCACCTCTTGTCCGAAATTAAGTGTTATGTTAATTAAGTCAAATATATATAAAATAGAAAAATATAGTGTAAAATTAATGTACGTATGGATTGATAAGTATGCTGTATACAAAGCAACCCTATGTAGTAGGGCAGCAATACTTTTAATAAAGTATTTCTCTCTAGTTCTGGTGAAGATAAATGAGATAATACAATACTATTGTACTTACATTATATTATATTTTAAAAAATGTTGAGATGAATTATAGTTGAATTTTTTTAACGTTATATTTTATAATAAATAGTACAATTGTACAATTTTTATTCATGATTTTTATTATGATAAAAAATAAATTTATTTATATGTACAGGGCTAAAAAAAAACTATTACTTTTATTGTGAAAAATTACTTTTATTGTTTGTTTTTTTAGTTGGTTGTTATTTATTTACTTCTTTATTTGTACCAAATGTGAACGTTATTTCTTATCAATAATAGAAAAAAATGTTCGTTCTTCCATTTCACAATTTTATTTTATTTATTTCAATTTATATATATTTTTCCGTTGCTCCATATCATCATCATATACGCTTGATAAAAATAATAATTGTCGTTTTTAAAAAACAATAACAATTTCCTTTGTCAAATTCATTTTACTTGTTAAAAGACAATGATCGCTGTTTGAAAAAACAGCTTTATTAAAATTTAAGCAAACTAACATTAAAATTCCATCACATATCAAAACCAAAATTATAATAATAATTAATATGGGCTATATAAAATTTAAAATAGTTGAAAGTAATTTTAAATAGTGACCATAGATCGTTGACAAGTCAAATGGACTTAATATAGAATATTTTTATTTTGTTTTTAAATTGAGAATCGTGGTTTTTAATAAGCAGATATGTTGATTTGCCTTTGTGCCGAAACGTACAATTACATGCAAAGTAAAATAATATTAGGAACGGAGAAGTTCAAACATTTTTCTGTTATTAAACTTAAAAAGAGTTCTAACCAATCTAAAAGCAATGCAAATATGTATCTATATTTTTTATTTAATTTTAACGTGTCCTGATAGCATGAGACTATCATCCAATATAAGGATATAGAAACAAAAATAAAAAATCGTAATTTTCGAATTTCATGTCGACTTGATGGAATCAATTGGATTATTTTTGTTGATTAACTATTCATTATTTCACATAAATTTAATTAATGAAGTTTTGTAAGGGCAGGATGTTTGGTAGCGGGTTGGTCAGTTTTTCCGTGTCCTTGCTGGTAAGCATTGGAGTCCTGAATTAGGGGTTTGTGAGTTCTTATTGACCCCAGATTTTTTTTTTGTCCCTCCAGACAGCTTGTTCCTGGAAGGTTCCAGCTAGCAGGCCATGACTCATTGAAGGGGTGGTTAGGCTGCAAGCAACCTGCTGACAGTTTCGTCCAGCTGCAGGTGCTCACCTCCAGTGAGTCACTGAAGATTTGGATGGTCTATTTTCCGTGTGTGGTCCTCTTCAACCTTACGCTTTATTGCACATACCAATGGGCTGTACTTATCTTATAGAAAATATGTCAGCCTAAGATGAATTTTCTTCGATACTACATGATTAACATGTCTTAAGCAATTTAATTCAAATAATTCAATCCATTTTAATCCAGTCTAATTATTATAGCCCAAGAGAGAAGAAACTGAACTTGGCTATTCGGTTTGGCTTAACTGGATATGTGACCTCACTGTGATTGGGTGGGTTTAATATCTCGTAGAGGATTTCGGAATCATTTCTGATGTTCCGCTCGCGAAATTAGTTTTTTAGATTCTATTTCCTTCTTTCTCCGTTGCATTTTTCTGCGTGTTCCCATTTACTCTAAATCATCTTCAATTTCTACTTGCATTCAATTTACTCTTCTCATAATGATAGAGAGTTATTATTGTTGATTTCTGCATCTACGTGGTTTTCTGTTTCGTCTGCCCGTTTGGCTCTGGTTAATAAAAAAAAGGAAGAATTAGTTCATCATAAATCGTAGACTGTTGTTTATTTTTTATAATAGGCCTTCATAATCCACAAAAAAACTCTAAAAATTTAAGATTTTCCATTTCTAGGTTACGTATAATTGAATTAAAAAATCTAAAGCCTGTCCTCTGGCTTTACTCCAACGTTACTGATTCGATTTTTTTTTTTTTTTAGAAGTCATAAATCAATCTAGATAAAGTAAACGCTTGTTGTCAGCATCCATACACTGACCGCCGTCCAACCCAACTCTACAATATCAGCCTTCGTGAAATCCTTCCATCTTCGCTTCGGTCTACCCATCGGACAATTACCAGTCCACACAGTGCACATTAACTTTGTTTGCCATTAAGCCCAACAAATTTTCTTGTTCATATTATTCGCCGCTAAGTTGCCGTCTTACTCATATTCACGGGGTGCAGTTCATGCGATTTGATCTCCTTTTTCAGTACAATTATTTGTTTTTGTTATATCACTTTTATATTGTCAGTGTTGCCTATTCGTTAATAAACCATTTGTGTAATTTTCAGCGTTCTGATAATAATTTTTATTTTGTCATAGTGGCCAATTGACCGGAAAAAAATAGAATATTGACGATATTTGAAACATCAGTTTTCCGTGCTTCATTAATCACTAATTAATTTATTTATTTATTCATCCACTGATGAATCTTATCATTTGTCACAAAATCATATTTTCTTCTTGTCATCATTTCTTACATAGATTTATTACGTGGATGTTTCAAAAATGCATTTACTTGCTTTGATGTATTTTTTGTAGTATTAATTAAGAAAACTGTAAACAAATGAGTTCTTTTAATGGCATCATTACAAATCACACTATGCATTTATTCATTCTATATAAGCTGTTACTGTTTGTTTTTAATGAATGGCTTATTGTATTTAGTCATGAACTTCCTTCGAATAATTAACATGCGTTAATTTAAGAAATAAATACAAAATATTAAAAGAAATATTATAAGATATAAATTAAAAGAAATTGCCACTGCTTCTGACACATCGATTTTACACGTTGGGATTATATCCCCTCAACTAATGTCCATTTCTCAGTAAATTTCTATTGCTCTGAAAGAAAATGGAAAAAATAGTTATGGCCGTTTTATTATTTGTCGAGCGCGCAATCTTCTTCGTGTTTATTATTAATAATTTTACAGTAATTGGAAAAAAAAGAAAATCAGTGGTGTGCATTTCATCGTCAGTTACACTCAACGATTCCATTTTTATGGTTTTTATTTATCATTTATTTAAAAAAAATATTATTGAAGTCTTCAGTTATTTCCTGTAAATTATTCTATTTTTTTTATTGTAATTATTATTTTGTTAAATACCTTGAGATTTATGAGATTGAGAGTTGAGATTTATCATTTTGTATCATCACATAAATTACTTCAGCTTCCTGTTCAAAGGATTGGATTAAACCAGATCATATTTAATGGCTAGAAGCTATTATTTTTTTTAAAAAATCTGCATCTTTTTTTTTTATTCAGAAATATAACAATCTGTCACATGGAAAATATTTTTAAACTTAATTCCGAAAAATTCGATTATTAACCGAATAAATAATTTTAACCAATCATATCTTAATAAAGTTTTGCTTAGAGGCTTAACACAACACTCAGAGATATTTTTTTAAAAACTTAATCATTACCTATTATTTCTCTTTTTTTTTTTCACTAAGACCTAATAAGGATTTTCAATATATTGTATCAAAATCAAAAAGTGATTTCGCCTTATTGTATAAGATCTCGCCAATGAGTTGCGAGTTGAGACGAAATCAGGAAATATATGATAGCACAAACGCATTTTTAACCGTGTTTACTCATACCAATAAATTAATCGTGATAAATATTTTAAGATTTTTTTCTGTTATTTGATTAATGGTATTTTAAGTACTAGCGACAATCTTCACTGATAAACGGAATCCAAATTTTTGTCTTAAGTGGACTATAATTGAATGAGAAATAGTTACAATGTTGTTTAACGACTCCCAAGTTTCGATATTGGCAATACCATACATAAGCACAATACTCCCATCTACGTCTCTGTCCAGTCCATATTTTCAAGACAATTTTAATCACCCTTTTATAGTTTCTTCATTTAGAATTTAGGTTTTAAAATATACTGGTTGTAGCCTTCAAAATATTTTCGATTTTGTGTATTTAAAATAATTTACTTTTAATAAGACAAAATCTTGATTGTTTTATTGATATTAATAATTATTTTAGATGTATTATCTGTCAATATTTTAGTTATTTGCGTTAGGTATTTATAGAATTTCAAACAAGATATTTCTGGAAAGGCTAGAAGATATGCTCTATAAAAGCTTTTAGGCTTTGCTGCCTTATAAAAACATTAGGGGCATGGCTTCGATCGGATCTGGGTGACCCATATAGTAACTTTGCTTTTTGGGTTACTTCTTCCTGTTTTCCACATATACTTCTTCGGGACTTTGCCTAACATTAATACTATATTTTTTATATAAAATGATTCAGCTAAGTAATAATTGATATCTTATAACAGCAATTAAACTATACAACAGTTGAATAATACCTTAATTCGAACGAGAATTGCTCGCAACACATCTTTTTTTCGTTAAATAATTTAATTTTTTTCGAGCTTGTGATCGTTTTTTTTATTAGTTTATTTTATTTCTTATAGCAAGTAAAATATCCATAATAACAGGAGCCTTTTGGTAAAAAACAAAGAGGCTTTGAAAAAATTTAACTATCTATTTTTTATTAAATAAAAAAATAATAACATTTCTCTGTAACTTTTTAGTTTCATCCAAGTAAAATTTTAAAATATAATTTGAATTTGAAATGCCCATTTGA